CGTTCATGCCTCCCCCCGATCACAGAGTTTTGCTTGTTGCTGCTGACGCTACGAGTGCGTCCGATGACCCTCCGAAGACAGACTGTGCTCCACTGTCCCTGGTTGGGAGGCGTGCCCCAACCCAACAACGTCGCGTGGGCCTCGTCAAGCAAACGACTCGGGCTTCAGGGGGGCGACCTTCACTTGGGAGCCTCGCCTACAAAGCGGGCCAATCCTCCTCGTCGCCCCCCCCCCCCCCAATTCGCCTCCCGCTCGGGCTTCGGCTCATCTCGCCACCGTCCCTGGGTCGTGGACCAGAGGCCCCTGGGGGGCCCTCGGGAGCGTCTCAGAGCCTGCTGGCGGTCTCGGAGGGGCATGCTGGGGAGGGCCTCCAGGACATCCTCGATTTTGAAGTTTTTGCCCAGCAGGGGAGGCTCACTGAGCCGTCTTGACGGCGTTAAGATCGAAAGGCGACGGCGGCAACCATGTGTAGGAGCCAAGGGCGTTTCCTATGTCTGCCTGTTCTGCCGATCCCGAGGGCCTCCTAGACGGCCCAAGAGAGCACTTGAGGAGGCTCAAGGACTCGAGGACAGGCCCTTCCCTTGGGTTATCTAAGGTACGTTGGGAGGTTGTATTCCCAACCACGCTTCCTGGGGCTCCAAAAAAGTAACGCGACCGTCCCCCGAATCGCTCGGGAGCGCCCGCATATCGTGGTAGTCGGCGGTGCGGGCCGCCGAAAGCATGGGAGATTCTGCGGACGTTGTGAGGACTTCGGTCAGAGCTTGCGGCACAATGGCAGGAATGGAATGCTGCGTTGCTTGATGATCTTCGATTGCTCAGCGGTCGCAGCTGGCCGTGATGTCCGCCTGACGATCGAGAGATTCGGGCCCGAGCTCTGCCTTGGGCCTGCGCGCAAGGATTCCTCATGTTTCCTTTGTAGACTGACGCCGCCATAGAGTCCCCGCCGTGGAGCTGAGAACGCTGCCTCTGCGTCCTCCAGAGGCTGGCCACGTCGACGCTGGCCCTCTGCCCCACCGCGGATCGCCATGGCAGCTTGCGCTCCGTCCTGTTCGTCACCAGCTTTGGGGGCCCTCGCCTGTCGAACGCGGGCGAAAGTACAGTCGGGGCACTGAGGAAGGAACCCTTTTCGTTGGGGAGGGGCTCGGTGTTCCTTGGTTGTTTTGCGGTTCTCCTCTGGCTTTGCTCAGGGCTTCGACGGGAGATCGAAGTCTAACTCATGGGAAAAAGGGGGCCTCGTTCCTCATTTGGGGTTCCTTAAGGTCAGCGCCCCGACGGTGCAACAGCATCGTCTCCCGCCCAGCCCGGCCCGCGGCACCCACGCACGAGGCCCTGGCTCGCCCCCCCGTCCGCAGCCGCCAGCAGGATTCTGCTGCTCGGGTCCGCGCGGGGCAGGGCTGTCGGCAGGGCGGCCCCGCGCAGCGCTCCTTCGGGCCAGGGGCGCGCGGGCCACGCTCTGTGGAGCGGTGGATCCAGGACTGGGAACGGGTACTCCAGATTTCGTAACAAAGGGAGGGGGGGGGTCTCATTTCGGGGGGGGTCTCTTCCAGGCCATCTTGGGGGGCCTGGGGGGGTCTGGGGACGATGTGTTGGAGGGTTCTCCCACAGGGGGGGGGTCTGAACCTTCTCGTCTGGGAGGGTTGAGACCCCCTCCCTTTTATTTATTACGAAATCTGGAGTACAGTCGGGGCGCTGAAGAAGGAGCCCTTTTCGTTGGGGAGGGGCTCGGTGTTCCTCGATTGTTTAAAAGTTTGCCTCGGGTCGTCCTGGGGCTTTCCATGGGACATCGAAGTTCACTTATGAGAAAAAGGGGCCTCGCTCCTTAGTTTGGGTTCCTTAGGTCAACGCCCCGACTGTAGGAGGGAAGGGGGGAGGACGGGGAGGAACGGTGGACAAGAAGGAGAAGAAGAAGAAGAAGGTGGGGCCATGGGGACTTGGAACGAGTGGACAGTGGACACATTGGGGGCAGGGGGGCGAACGCGAGGGAGGCGAGGCCAGCAAGAGGGATGGGAAGAGGGCACGCGGGAGGAAGAGGCAGGGCCACCCGGGAGCGAGGTGGGGACGAGAGGCCGCGGCAGGCTGGAAGCACTCGGGAGGTTCGCGACCACTCCACGGACCATCCTCTTCCGAGCTCCCGAGGAGGAGGAGGAGGAGGAGGAGGAGGAGGAGGAGGAGGCGGAGTTTCGCGACCACTCCACGGACCATGCCCTTCCGAGCTTCGGGGGTGGACAGAACCCCCAACAGTGACATGTCGATTCGTGAAGTGTCCGTTTTTCGGTTCTCGAGGGGGCGCCGTGGCCGTCCTTTCCCAGGCCTGCGCCCGCCAGGTTTGGGCCTCAGGTCGTCTTCACCAAACCACGTTTTACTAAAGGGGGGTCTGTCCATCCCCGAAGGCTCCCCCGCTCCGTCGTCCCCCCAGATCCCTCCCGGATTCTGTCAGCTGGCCCTCCCGAGTGTCCAGGAGAGGAATTTGCGGCCCGGCGCGTCCGACGACAACCTCTGACGCACCCGAGGCGCATGCTGATGGGCCCGCGTGCCCGCGCGTATGCACGATGGAGAGTACGCGACGGGCCAACAAGCCGCCTGCACAGCCAAAGCCGTTCACGCCCTCGCAGTCGTCGTTTCCTTCTGCTTCTTCTTATCCGCGGCGAGCATGGGGGGAAGTGAGAAGGGGCGGGCCTTCTCAGAAGGCTTGGAAGTCACCTGGCCTTCTGAGAAGTTTTCTAAGCCTTCCCCGAAGGCACAGAAAACCTTTCAGAAGACTGGGGTTTCTGAGAAGCCCCGCCGCCTTCTGAGGAGTCCTTCTCCGTCTCACTTCCCCCCCTCGCTCTCCGTTCCCCCCCCCCCCCCATGTCGGCGCACCCCTCACACGTTTCGTGGCCCCATAGGGTGCTCCACCCAAGGCCCCAGTAGCAGGGTCAGCATGCAGTTCCACCCCCATTTCGGCGCACCCCTCACACGTTTCGTGTAGTTCCACCCCCATTTTGGCGCACCTCTCGCACATTTTGTGGCCCACAGGGTGTTCTGTCGGAGGCCCCCTGTGGCAGGGTCCGCATGCAGTTCCACTTCGATTTTGGCGCACCCCTCGCACGTTTCGTGGCCCCATAGGGTGCTCCGCCGACGGCCCCAGTGGCAGGGTCCGCGTGCAGTTCCACCCCCCCCATTTCGGCGCACCCCTCGCACGTTCCGCGGCCCCATAGGGTGCTCCACGGACGGCTCTGGTGGCAGCGTCCGCATGGCGTACCCGTGTCAATTTTGGCACACCCACCACACGCGTCGTGACCCCAGAGAGGTTCACCGGGGTCGATACCCACAACTGCGTTACTCACAACTGCTCATGGTTGGGTCCCTCACCAGGATATGTTTTCGAGCGCGTTGTAGAAGCAAGTGCGTTCTCCATGTGGCGTCCAATTGTGTGCGCGCGCAGATATCAAACATGCAAATCGTTTGTATCCCCACGCGTAGTTCAATTCCCACACCCTCCCTGATATTAACTTGCATTATTCAATACATCGCCTTGCAGATGACGCAGCTGTTCGAGAGGCTTACGCCATTCCGCCGACCCTCAGAAGAGGATAAATGCGGCTTCCGATGTCATGTAAATTGTTTGTGACTTCCCGTCGTGCTGACTGTTTGTGTTTGTTGCTGATTCGCCCCCTTCCTTCTCCGCGTCTGTTGCAGGGCCTCTTGGGGGCCTATTGGAGGCCTTGGGGACTTTGGGAGGGAATTCGTCGCCGGATTCGCCGGATTTCCTGGATCTCGCCTGAAACGGAGTTGAGGGCGCCAGTTTGGAATGCCCAGATCTCGCCTGAAACGGAACAGGGGGGCTTCTGAGGGCCGCCTTGGAGAGGCTCCGGGGGCGGTTTTCTGAGAATGTCCCACGCGAGGGCGCCAGTTTGGAATTCGTTGCCAGATTCGCCGGATTTCCCAGATCTCGCTTGAAACGGAACAGCGGGGCCTTTGAGGGCCTCCTTGAGGGAGGCTCCAGGGAGCGGTTTTTCTGAGGATGTCCCACGCGAGGGCGCTGGTTTGGAATTCGTCGCCAGATTCGCCAGATTCGCCAGCTCGCCTGAAACAGAACATGGGGAGGCTCCAGAGGCGGTTTTCTGAGGATGTCCCACGCGAGGGCGCCGATTTGGAATTAGTCGCTGGATTCGCCAGATTCGCCTGATTTCCCAGATGTCGCCTGAAACGGAACAGGGGGGCCTTTGAAGGCCTCCTTGCGGAGGCTCCCAGGCCGGTTTTTCTGAGGATGTCTCACGCGAGGGCGCTGGCTTGGCATTCGTCGCCAGATTCGCCGGGGTTCTTGGATCTCGCCTGAAACGGAACGGGAGCCTGGGCCTTGTTGGGGAGTCTCCGTGGGCGGTGTTTTGCCGAGGATGTCCCACGCTAGGGCGCCGGTTTGGAATTCTGGCGGCTCTTGGAGTGGGGGCGGCGACGGACAGGCCGGCTTCGGTGCCCACGCCTGCCGGGACAAGCGTCGCTCGGGCGCAGCCAGGGGAAGTCGCTCCCACGGCAATCGCGCAAGATCCGCCTTCCACCTCCAAGATCACCACCCACCAAACCACCCCAACCCAACCCGAAGGCTCAGATTTACCCTCGATTTCCAGTGGGGGGGGTCGGGAAACATCGAAAAAACACATGTGGAACCCTTACCCCCCCCCAACCCGAAATTCGGGTCTTCGGGTTGGGTTGGGGTGGTCTGGTAGGTAGTCAGAGCCCGCTTGGACCGCCTGGTTGGCCTGAAGCAGAAACTTCCGAAGGCAAAGGCCAGGCTGAGCCGCGGCGCAGGCTCCTCCACGAGCGCCTCCACCAGGAGAGAGCCTGGCGCTGCCTGCAGAGCCTCTTCGCACGGAGCAAACCTGCATCATCGCGGAAGTGGTGTTCAGCCATGGAGACGCTGGGCAACTCCGCAATGCTGGCCTGGGCAACCGCGTTGACCTGATCGCCGAGCCCGCAGCCGTTGAGGACGGCCCCGAGCTTGCCCGCATGGAGGCCCGCTGCCGCCATGGGTGGAGCGGCTGCCTCGCCCGCCGCCTGCTGGGCCGGCACGCTCCGCTGCTTCTCCGGGCTCTTGCTGGCTGGCCCCTGCCGCCGGATGCCTGCCTCGGCTTCCCCAGTCTGCTCGAGGAGGCCCGCCGGCTGCACGCGCGGCTGTCCCAGGGCCCCCCTGTGCTTGAGCAGCCGCTTCTCCGCCGACGCCAGTCTGGCCGTGACCGTCCGCACGCGGGCACGGATGGGCCTGGGATCCAGCAGCTTGGCCCGCAGACGGTCCCGCTCAACCTCGAGCCCATACCTGCACGCCAGCCAGGCAGGCCCGCTGTGTCTGGCCACCGCCACGAGCTCCTCGTCCAACTCTTGGAGCCGATGGCGAGCGAGCTCGTCAGTGGCCTCCGCATCCATGTCAATATCTTCCTGTTCCACAGCGGCTGCCCCGCGGCGCACTGGAGGCTTGGCCTGAGCAGCTTCCAACTGCTCGACCTTTCTGTGAAGCATCTCAAGCTCTTTGGCCTCCTTGCTCCATGGGTTGAGACCGGTCGCAGCCTTCGGTGGAGCTCCGTCTTTGGCATCCTTCCCGCGCTTGGACGGGAATGGTGGCTCCAGGTGGCCGCCGAAGCACGCCGACTTGTGGATCCCGCAGCAGGAAGCAAGATGCCCGATCCGCGTTGTTCATCCACGCCTCCCCCGTGCGCTCGGGGAGGCATGATTTGCACGTCCAGCGCTGTCGTCCCCTCGCCCTGCGGGACGCCATGCCGGGCACGCCGAGGGGAGGCTCGTTGCCGTGATGATCCGCCAGGACCGCAAGGTCGCGCTCTCGGCGCAGCCTGGCCCCCGCCACCGCCCGGCGCCGGCGGGCGCCGGTGCCAGGGCGGCGAAGAGGACCGACCGCGGTCTGCCGCGCGTGTGGCGCTGGGGGCCATCGCTCCGCGGGCGCCCGCCGCGGGGGCAAGACGGCTGCAGGGCCGCGCTGCGAAGCCACCTCCTCCTCCTCCTCCTCCTCCTCCTCCTTCTCCTCCTCCTCCTCCTCCTGCTCCTCCTCCTCCTCCTCCTCCTCCGCCTCCGCCTCCTCCTCCTCCTCCTCCTCCTCCTCCTCCTCCTCCTCCTCCGTAGCCATTTTGGCTCAAGATGCATGGTTCCACAGGGGAACAAGTGGATACCGCTAGTCCGCGGCAGGCAAGACCCTTGGCGGTCTGGCAGAGTTTCTTCCTCGTCCTGTCGCTCGCCTCCACGGGTAAACGGAGGTGTTTCCCGTTCCTGTGCTGTCGAGCGCCTCAGTCTCCATGGGGCTCCCCGACGCTGCCTCGCTCGCCAAGGTTGCCCAGGAGCTCGATGACATGCCCACCTTTCCTGAGGATGATCATGCTGATGGCCGTCATGATCGGGGCTCGCCTGAGCCCAAGTACCCGCGCACCGAGGACGGCAAAGGCGGCAACACCAGTGGCAAAGGGGTCGCAGGCATGGCTGCCCGCGCGGCAGGGGCCGTCGGCTCAGCTCTCTTCGGCGGTCGTGGCGATTCTCAGTGTACTCCTGGCTCCTCTCCTGCTGGTGCCCATCGTGACCCTGCCCAGCCTCCACTACAGCAGCCTCAATATGATGATGACTATATCAGGCACGTCGCAGCCAACGCAGTTGCCGAACAATTTGGAGAACTACGGTCCGAACTTGAATCTCTGGTTGGATCTACCGTTGGCGCAACTGTGCAATCCTCCAACAAATCTATTCTCGACACACTGGAATCTCTGCGCGTCCAGATCACGGCCCAGCCGAAAGAGGTCGACCAGCAGATTATGGCCACTGTTCGCCCACACATCGATTCAATTCACCGCGGCTTGCAATCCAAGATTGACTCCCTCGGTTCCCACGTCAACACGCTCTCGATTGATGTGGAGAAGCACACCGCAGACATCGCCAACCTACGTAAGCAGATGGAGGAGCTCCGCGGCGAGCTCATGGTCGCCAAGCGCACCGAGAAGGCACCTACGGCACCCCCCTCCTTCGATCGAGTGGAAGACCCCTCGGTTGTCGTCGCCATGGCCACTAAAATGGTTGGGATTGAGTCTGTGCGTGCATCACTTTCCCCCTTCTTGGGGGAGTTGGGCTTGGACGCATCGTCATACTCTATCAAGTCCACCGGTCCGATGCCAAGCAGAAGGTACCTCGTCTCATTCAGCGGCAGTGTGGGGCTCGCGTCCAAGTATGTCAACAAAGTCTTATCCAATCTCAGGCAGAACGATGAATGGCGTATCTTCGAGGCTGATGTGTCAGGCTCTACTCCCGCTCGTCTCCATCTCGGACCAGACAAAAATCCAAAACAAATTAAAACGGACATGGCGCTCAGGAAGCTTCGCACAGCCATGGCTGGCAAATACGACGGACGATGGGTTGTGGACAGGGAGCGTGGGGTCCTCCGCTGCGGGTGGACGCACATCCTCAAGCTCTCCGCCCAGCCTGACGACCAGCCCTTCGACATCTTCTACAACGACGAGGGCCTCGGTGAGGTCG